TTCATAAGATCGCATTCTCACCAGAACCAATATATATGTGTGTGTGTGTTTATATATATATATATATATATATATATATATATATATTGGTTCTGTTGAGAATGAGATCTTATGAAAGAAATAATAATGAACCAAACACCGTTAGATCTGATCGCATCTCTATATTCTTGCAGATTCTAGATAGGGCTATATGTGGGTTTTTACATCTCAATCGTAGCTCTCTCCCATCTTCTTCCGAAAAATTAGCGCACAATCTACGCAGGGCTTCCTCTCTTTATTTCTTTTTCTTATTCTTTTTTACCATGGCACTAGTAATTAATCATTCTTGGCTTCTCAATCCGAACAAAATGCTTAGGGAATTCTATCCATATTTAGGGTTCATGCAAAAAAATTGGAGGGATAAAATTATGGTTCCAGGTACTAGTCCGAGAATCCAACCATCACCAATTTCACAATTCCAGAATATTATTGTCGTTGAGGTGAGTGGTTGAAATCTTCCTCCTCATAAAGTGGTTTTTATAAATTGTTGTTCGGGAGAAATTAAAGAATTTGTACGGTTAAATGGGTTCAGCAGAATAGTGGGGGTGAAGGTTAGTGGTGATGAAGGTTACCGTAGTGAGGGTTTTTCTAGACAAGACAATAGTGGGGGGTTTGGCCGGCACTAATTTTTTTATAACTATTTTTTATAGTTGTTTTTAGTTGATTTTTGTCAAAAGTAACTTTTATACAGTATTTTTTTGTTGATTCTTATTAAAAGCAATTTTTAGAGAGGTATTTTTGTTGATTCTTTTGTTTTTGTAGTTATGTTTGTAAATAGTATATTTTTGTTTTGATCCTGTTTAATAGCTTATGATTATTTGGTCTTGTTTGTAATGCGTTTGTATTTGGGTAATGCATTGATAAATGTCAGCATTACATTTATAGCGCAATATAACGCATTTGTGTGAGAAACTATGCACACATCTATGAAACATGGTGATTTAATTTGTGGTCTTTAAATCCTACTTGGAATTTGTGGCTTATTCTTGACAAAAGTGATGTGATTTTTATAGAGCTAGTGCATTGTGAAACTATGCATCTGTATAGTGGTATGGTGTTGTTTACATTTTTGTTTTAAATTTAGAATGTCTGCATTGACTAGATCTCATAATGCATTACAAAAAAAATGTTTGAAAATCTGTACTCTTGATTCAGTGCGTGTTAAAGGTATTCACATGTATTTTTGCAAACTTCTAATGAATAAAATCAATTCGTATAATGCATTTTGTGTTACTATCTAGGTTTACCCGGCTGCACTTGTCGTCAAATTTTAATAAATAAAATAAATTTGTAATGCATTTTGCATTGTGATCTATTGTATATAATGATTACTTAATTGTTAGCACTTGTGTGTAATGTTGTTTAGTTAATTCGTAATGCATTTGGGTAACATGAATGCAGAAAAGGAAGTCTCCTGGTTGGTCACATTCAAAAAGAAACTTAAGAGGAAGAAAATGACAACATCTCCAATGCGTAGGAAGAAAAAGCTACAATTGTGGGCTATTGAATTACAACAATAAGGCGACCATAATGTTGAGACTAAATACTCTACATCGTTAGTAATATTCAAAGTCAATGAATTACATGCAAAAAACCCATTTGAAAAAAGAGATGAATAGATAGGGCGAAGCTAGCTGAAGGAAGGGCGCGTTAGCGAACTTATTGAAAACTAAAGCAAGAAGGGCCGCACGTTGAACATAGTTCAACTCATTTGGAGACTACGTCCCTCCTGCTGCAAGCTTTGCCTCTATCTCATATAGAGTATGACATACAAGAAAAAAATAAAGACAGAGGAAGAGGGATCTTGTCTACATATTTTATCTAGGCATGCTTCATTAATGACGACTCCTTCTAGTTCTATATTTTTTGTAAGGGCCTCAAATTTTAAGAATGAAGTTTTTTTCATTTGTAGTGATCGTGTATTTTGATGTTTTGGATTTGTTTATCTTTGTTTTTTGGAATCAGAAATGTGGCTTTGGACTTAGGTTTAGTTTAATTTCTTTGGAATGGTGTGCTTGGGCACATGCAATATTGTGCATTAATTATGTAACATAACTCCATTCTAGTGACAAAATCATGCATTCACATTTGCATACTTTGGAGCCTTCATTTATAGGCAGTTCTGATGAAAGCCATGCTATGACGTCAAGGATTTGTAATTAAGAATATCATTATTAGGGAATTTGTGTTCAGGAAACGTTAGCCTAGGATATGCAAATCTTATTGCACGTTTACACGAGGGTGATGCATTTAGAACCGCGTATGATTCATACTCCCTCTTTAAAAAGTAAAAAAATATGGCATGTATTGATATATATAAACATAAATTAGATACACTAGTCAAACATAAAATCTTAATTGCAGTGTGTTTTATATCGAGAGCAAAATAATTCAATTTACAAGATATGCAGTGCCACTTTTTTATAATTCACCAAAGTATTTAGCATGATTTACAAATCAATTTTGATTCTACAAAGTATGCACTACAAGTTACATATAATGCACTGGTTACTTTATATAATGCACTAAAAATACACAATATGGGGATTTTCATAGTAGAGGATTGAAGCATCGTGACGAGCAGAGAGTGCATTTAAAATTATTCTCCAATATTAGTTTATAATGATTATAATTCAGGATTTTTTAATAAACAGGGCTAAAATTATTCCTTCTCATCATAATTTAAAACCTTTTCATGAACAAATGATTATTCCTATATGGAATAGGATATTTTTAAAAGGTTTAGTCAATGGGGTATGTGCTGTTCGGCTAAAATCATGTGAGGGCACGCTGGATTATTCGAAATGATATTACCTTCATGCCCTTGGTCAACAACCTAATGCTAATTTAATGCACTATAATTATGGATTTCCTTTTTAAATTCAATTTCAGAAATACCATGTGCAGCCAAGCATGTCCCTCTGGTGGTCCCAAAGTGGTGAAATACAAAGTCTAGAGGGGGGGGGGGTGAATAGACTTTGTTACAGATTTAAAATCTTTTTCGTTTCTTTTGAAAACGTGAAAATGAGTGTTAATCTAGAGTCCTTGTGAACTTTAGATTGTGTGCGGAATTTGGTGGGTAGAGTGAGCAGTAATCAATATGGATGGGTTAGTTTTCACGGTTAATATAATTGCAAGTAAGAATAAAGATAAAAGAGAGAGACACGCAAACTTTAACGAGGTTCGAAGGTGGGGTAATCCTTCTACGTCCTCAAAATCCACTATGTAGTTGGTTGTTGAATAATGAACCAACAATTACACTTGTGTGAATTTCTGCACGGTATATCTTCACAAGACCAATGTTGCTACTGCACTCGTGCTGGCTTTGTTGTTCCTTCGAAGGTCAAGCTTCTTCAACAACTGCAAGGTCCGAACAATAGGACTTGCAAGATCAACTTGTAAGAGAGTTGACCTACCCCCTTTTAATCAATAAGTTTGATCAAAAGTAATATCCTTCAACGTGGTGTGGTGCTTGAGGCAAGGAAACCTTCAAGTGTTTACACTATAGCTCTTTGGAAGGAGGA